GATACTTACATTTTGTTGGTTATGTGTTTTCTGATTTCTGCTTCCTTTTCTTTTCTTTATGGTATCTTAATGAATAGAACTTCTTTATTTTAAAATAAATTTATTATTTATTCTTTTTTTGTGATATTGACTTATTCTGAGGCCATAAAATATAATTTTGTCCACTAAAATTTTTATAATCTTACCTTTTACATGCAAGTCTTAAGTTGGAATTGATTTTTATATAGGCTGGAAAAGGGATTCCATTTAATTCCCCCCCCCCCATTTATTTAAGTATCCAGGTATTTATTTTTATCAGTATAGGTACATAGGTATTTGTATTATCCTATGGGTTCTAATCTGCTAATGTGATTTTTTATTTTATTGTTCAAACTGTCTCAGTTTTGGCCCCTTCAGGTTGGTTCCAGTGTCCGTTTGATAAGTCCCTGTCTTTTTTGAGCACTTCCTTACTTTCTTGCACCACAAGATGTTTCAGGCTCATCTGGTACTTTACCTGCTCCAGCTTTGCAGCCAGACATTTATTTCCCCAAGTTGCCCTCATTCTTTTCATTAGAGGACGGTATTTAGAAACCAGTCACTGGGTGCTGGGTGTGCTCACTGCTACTGGGATATCATTGTCCCTAGGTTTTCTCAGAGGACAGAGCTGGGAAATATATATGTGTACACATGCCTACATCTGTCTATATCTGTCTGTCTGTCATCTGTGGAAATACGTATTAAAAACCATGATATTTCTGTTTCAAGCTCACCACCATAGAGTTCATTCTGACCTTGCCCCTTTCTTTCTTTGTTTTGTCTCTAGCCTCAGTATATATAGTCAAGATACTGGTTTCCAGTGTGGTACCTTCTTTTCTTCTGTGCTCCTCTAAGGGTAGCTGTGTTGTATATATAAAATGCAGTTTATTTGTTACTGATTGTGTTTCATTTTGAATTAACCTCATATAGTGGTTGATGTTAATTATTTACTTTTTAAATTTTGTGAAACATTACGATAGCTATAAATGTCAAAACTACACAAGAAGATGTATTTGGAGAGCTGTCACTCCCCCTCTATTCCTTGTGTTCTGTTCTCATTGTTGCCCCCATTGCTGCCCCGATGGCTCCACAACGCCTGGAAGATAAAATTCAAACTCAGTGTACGTGATGAGTCCCACCATCATCTATCTCAGTCTTAGCTTGTGCCTGTAGACTGTGTTCAGGCTGCCTCAGATTTCTTGTTATTCCTCAGATGTGACTGGCTTATTCATGCCTCCATGTCTTTGCACGTTCTTTCTCTCTGCCTGAAATGATGTTCTATTTCCTCTTATCTTGCCCATCTTTAATTATTCAAAACCCATTTCAACTGTAACCTACTATATGAGGACGTCCTTTCCTTACCCTCCTCTCTGCACTTGCATTTCACGCCTACATTTAATAACTCTGTCCAGGTAATTCATAGATCCATAGCACGTGTGAACGTTGTGTAACTTTTATGACATTTAAATCATTGATGCATAAAGACAGGAACTTGATCTTTGCATTTCACGCATCTGGTTCAGTTTCTCGCATGTACTGGTTATGCCGCAAATGCAGTATAGTGAATGGGTTTCAATTCTTTTCACTTATTCATTCACTCCTCTGCTCTTTGTTTCACTCATGATGTATGTAAGTTCATCCTAATAGAATGTGTCTCCTCATGTGTTGCCCATGATCTTGTCGTCTCTGGCATTTTCATGTTCTCTGCCTCTCCTCATATATTTGGGCACGACCCTGGTAATTTAATGGCTTCTTATGATCCCTGGAAAGTTACAATATATAATTAAATTTAAGTTACAGTATAGAGGGACAAAATGACATCAAGGTATAGAAATGGTTTGAAATATGGAAGCCTAGTAGTCAAGGTTATTTGATCTGTCAGGTTTGCTTCCTCAGTTGAAAAGCTGAAACTTCCTGCCCAGTTAATCTGTTAGATTGGAAGAAACTGTTGTGCTGGAAACAAATCCCTTCAACCCTCTTTTAAGAACCCTAGTCAGCTTTTAAAATGTCATTATTTTTGTCCAAAAGGCAAGTTCAGTGACCTTCCAAATTGTGTTTCTAAGCTGCTTATGTTACTTTCTATTCTGCATAGATTATCCAGCAGATTATGTCACATGTACTTATTCCCACCCGTCTCTTCCTCCACCATCTGTTACTTTCCTCTCTCCCTCTGCATTGCATTCTCCTCTTGCTGCCCCTGTTTTTCCATCTAATCATAGCTCACTCTCCAGAGCCTTACCTGGAACTCAGAACAGAGGTTTAGTTGCAGTGCAGACATCACACTACATAAAGGGGGGGGGTCTCACAGGCTTGCTGGTGTATCAGCATGTTTGATATCCATGGAGTGTGAGCTACGAGAAAACATCCACTTACACTGTTGGCTTGTATTCTTTATTTATTAAAAAAAAATTAAAATATTTTATTTTTTTATTCAAGTACAACACATATAAAGACAAGTGAATCGTAAGGGAACACATTAATGAAATTTTCCAAATTGAACATAGTCATGAAACCACCATTCAAGTCAGGAAATTCAGTATCACTGGCTTACCTAAATTCCCCTTTCACCTCCTTCCCGTCTCTATGTCTCCCCACACTCAAAGGTAACTACTATCCCGACATACATAGTTTTACCTACTTTTGAACTTTATGAAATGGAATCATGCCGTATGTTCTCTCATGTGTCTGGCTTCTTTGTCTCAACGTCACTTCTGAGAGATTCATTTGTGCTCTTGCATTAGTTATGGTTCACTTATATTCATTACTGTATAGCAGGCAAACAGCAGTCTGTGGGCTGGCTGCCTGTTTTTGCAAATAAGGTCTTGTTGGAACACAGCCACACCCATTCATTTACATATTGCCTGTGGCAGTTTTCACACTCCGCGGTGGAGCTGAGTGGTTGAAGTAAGGCACAGAGACCATGGGCAGGCAAAGCCAAAACCATTTACTACCTGGTCCTTTGCAGAAAAGCCGACTCACCCCTGCTGTATAGTATTCCCTTGTATGAATACTCCACAGCTTATTTGTTACTGAGTTTCGGCTAATACAGTGCATGCTTCTTTGAATATTATTGTACAGTAATACCTTGGTTTGCGAGCATAATTTGTTCTGGAAACAAACTACTCATATTGCAAGACATCACTCGTTTACCACGTTAAAATGTGTTAGGAATGTTTGCTCGTCTTGCGGAACACTCGCAAACCAAGTTACTCGCAATCCAATATTTTGCTGTATGTGTCTTTGGGACCTATGCGTATGTATCTGTATGTGTATTCCTGGTAGGCATTTCCCTAGGAGAGGAATTGCTGGGCCACAATATATGTGTATTCTCTGCTTTATTAGACACTGCTGAACAGTTTTTCAGTTCACCTTCCCTCCAGCAGTGTATGAGAGCTGAATTGCTCCACATCCTAAGACTTGGTGTTGTCAGATATTTAGTTTTAGACATTTTGATCTGTATGTAATTTTATCTCTCTGTGGTTTTAACTTGTGTTTCCATGGTAATGAATGAGGTTGAGCACCTTTTCATATGCTTTGTTCTGAATGAGTTCTTTGGTGGTTATATATCTTCTTCCATTCTGAAACATGCACTTTTATTCTTTTAGTGGTGTTTTTATTTTTATAGTTCTGAAGGGGATCAAGGTATGCCACCCCAAAATGTGCCACATTGGCATAAGGATTATTTTGAGCTGAAGGAAATTGAGAAATAGCAGACAGTGGAAAAAGCTCTCTGCACAACTTTACATTTGTAAAGAGGCACCCATCTCCCATACTAGAAAGAGGAGAACAGTTTTTACCACCAAAACTGGAGTCCACATAAAATAATCTTACAAAACAGTCCTTATCTGTCATGTTTCCTAGTCATCTTCCAGCAATGTATAAACCTTAAGAGCCCAAATCCCGTTTTCCTTTGTCTAGTCACTTCTCCACAATTTATTGTCCTTTGTTAAAATGGTATATAAGCCCCTGGGCCTAACTGCCACTTTGGGTTTTCACTTATTTTCTGTGACATCCCCATGCATGCAAAAATATTAACATCAATAAAGAAACATATGCCCTTTCTCCTGTTTATTTATCTTGTCAGTTTAATTTGCAGGCTCCCAAGAGCTGAGTTTGAGAGAGTAGAGGAGAAGTTCTTTCCTCCCCTACAAACGAAAGGAAAGTGAAATTAGACATGGTGTTTGTAGCACATGGACAGTAGCTATCCTTATCCTTGTCAGGGCACACCATCCCCAGGAAACACCACAGCAGCCATAGATTTTTGTGGCTTGAAGTCCTTCTTAATTAAGGGTGTGATTTGCCACATTGTTATTTGTCCTGGGCTCTGATTAGAGACAACATTCTTACCTTTCACTTTTGAGTATTAAATGTCATTCCCTAGTCTTAGAGTCCCTGGTTCCATGGGTGTGTTTCTTTAGCATTCCATGGTATGCTGAATATTCAAAGATTTTATTAACATGCAGTGTCACATATTTGAATCAGATATGTGTATTTTTTTGAAAACTATTTCCTCAGCTCCCTGAGGTTAGACATTGAGAACCTGAAGCTGATTTATCTAACTTTAGGTTGTATTGAATTGAATAGAGTAGATGTGTGTCATAGGAAGTAGACCACATGATTTTTGAGCTCCGTTTAATAATTCTGTTTTTGTTTCAGTTTTATAAGTAGCCTTCCAGGGCAATATTACTTGAGTAGGATGTATTTTGTTTGTCTGTTTTGGTTTTTTTTGGTGGTCAGATGTAGATGCAGATGATTTGAAGTTGAAAATATTTAGATACTCTAATATTACAGATATTTTCTCTAATTTCTGATTTCATTGCAGCTACTTACTTTAAAAAGGCTGGTGTGCCACTTTCAGAAAACAAGATAAAACTTTTGTTATGCAGCTATTTTATTTTAGTGAAGTTTCTTGTGTACTTAACTATTGTTTTCCATTTTAAAAAATATATTTTTAACTATTTTCTGTTTTTCTTAACTTTTTCCAGGTTGCACATTATTACTGTGGATGCTACTTGTCTAAATTTCTGTAGCCATGACACAAGAATATAGTAAGTACTGTAGCATATTTCCTATGACCTCTCTGCTTTAAAAAGTGTTTACTTTCTGTTTTTAAATTTCTCATTGGAGCAGTGTAAATATAGAAACAAAGTTTGTAAAGCCTGCTTTTCTCAAAGGGATAAATTCATTTGGTCTTCTGCTTTTTGAATCTGTAGCTTTATATACAAATCTGTGATGGTAGTGATGAATTTCATCTTCTGGTGAACATAGTCTTGCTCAGGCTATTCCCTGTAAGTACCAGCAGAGTGGATATTAGGGCTGGAGCCATAGCCTGTGTCCAGCTGATCCCCCATGTTACCGAGTTGAGGAACTGACTGCCGCTCCATGGTGAGTCCCGATTAGGGTCAATCCCATCCCTGCTTTGTCCATAACTGACTCATCATGTACAAAGCATCAGCGAGTGTTGGGCATTAACTGGGTAGAGGGATGGTTTCAGGAATGGTCCAGTAATCCTGTTCTAGCCTGTGAGACTCCAAGGTAGGTTTGCCAGAGCTCTGGGAGAAGCCTTCTATTGTAATAAACAGAGCAACGGAAAGAGCCTGCCTCTCTCTCTCTCTTCTTCTGGCTGTTGTTTTGTACCAGTGTGAGGTCTGGAGTGTCTGCAGCCTGGGCAAGAAGCCACGGGTGGAGGGCAGAGAAGCCAGCCCCGAAGCCTGTGTGTGTGTCCTTCAGAAGTCCACACTCTGAGCCAATATATTTCCTCTTTGTTGAAGCCAGTTTGTGTTGGGAGCCAAAACATCCCAAGTGATTCACTCCATCTCCATTTTATTTTTAGTAATCCATTAGTTTCTCCCTGGGGAATGTGGGAGTAATTACAAAGCAAGGCAAAATAGTACCGTTAAATTAAACTGGCAGGGTGTGTTGGTGTTGCCTGGCACCCTCTTCATTCTTAATAGCTAACAGGTAGTGATTTGGTATTCAAAGACAGGAGAATAAAATATATTGCTTTCAGGTACTTCCCCACCCCACCCCACCACCACCACCACCCCACGCTCCCTGAAAGTTTTGCCTTTTAATCAATGCACTTGGGCTGTGAATGCTGGAAAGGGCCTTGGACTACTGGCCTGAAAACGGTCCCCTTGTATACGTGTGTATTCGGCAGTGCAGACCTGTTCTTAGAACAATCTCTACCCAAACTTCTAATTCCTTGTTTGCTTTTCAAAAATTCATATGAATATCCTGAATATAAAAATTATATAAGGAACAATATAACAAAATCTCTGTGTACCCTCCCACAACACACTAGAGAAATTGAATTTTTCCCCATTCTTGGAACAATTAAAACCCAGGGTAGGCCTCCCTACTTGCAGTGCCGTTCCCCTGCCTCTGTGGAACCCCTGTCCTGGTTTGGGTCTTTATTCTCCTTACGCATCTGTTTGTCCTTGTACCACACACATGTAGTATGATATTTGTATGGTTTTTCACTTCAGGTACATGTAGATACTATGTCTATTTGTTGTTTAAAATCTCCAAGGAGTTTAGAATAAATTCAGGATCACGGAAGGAGACTGTAAATTTGTTCTCAGATATTTGTCCAAAGATTGATTACTAGGCATCCTAGTGATTGGTACTAAAATGTGTTAGATTTTAAGTGGTTGATGCATTTCATCAATATGCTGATGAAACCTTTTGTCGTGTCTTCTGGAATCTGGTACCTGGCTTGCTACTGAATTCACTTTCTGTCCCCGATCCTGCACTCCTGTGCAGGCTTGGCATGTGCAGGACACTTTTAGACCAACTATGCCAAAAAAGAGCTTTTCAGAGTGCATTGGTTGCTTTTTTAATTTAAATAGCTCTATGCATCCTGTGGTCAATATGAATGCTTTAGGCAAACTTAGGTAAATCTTACGCATTTTTCTGCACTCTGACAATTAGTCATCCCACCTACGAAATTTACTTCCATGCTTTCTAAATTTGTCAGCTTATTCCTTATACTGGTACCAGCAGTTGTAAAAGAAGCATCCATTGCGATGAATAGACTGTGAAGCATGGTACCTTGAAATATAGTATTGTGGGGAAGGAAAAAATAATTTTACGTTTACCCTCCTATGTTCTTCTGGCTGGACTAATAACATGAGACGGATTAACAGGAGAAAAATGACCAAACTTATTATGTATGCACGTATGGGGGTTCCACACAAATAGGAGACCTGAGGACAGATTGGGCAGTTCAGGCTTTCATGCCATCTTGAGCTAAGGTGTCCTGTTGGTGGTGGGTTGTGGTTTGGGACTTCATAGATCAGCAAGGCAATTCACGCTGAGATAGAAAAGCAAATATTTGGTAAAGAAATGTTTGCTGGGCCATCTTCAACAATGAGACGTAGAGGGGACTTTGATCCGAAGGACCTTGCTAGGTTCCTCCCCGTCACACACTAGTTCATACTAAACTATAGTTGTCTGTGACGATGACTCCCTCCCTGAGCCTGTCCTCTGGCTGAATTCTTTTAGGCCATGAGGGTGAAGGTCAAAGTTTCTTTCTTCATCTTATGTTTCTTAAAAATAACCAACTTAAAATGATCAGTGTCCCAAAAGGCATATTTTGGGGTAGCAAACTCTGCTCCCCCTCAGTGTCACAGTCACTTGTGAGTCTCAGAAGTCTTTGTTGTGTTACTTTTTGGGCCCCGATGTGAGCCTTGGAGATAATTTTTTATCATTCTTGTCTGAAATGTATCTTAGGTCATTTAACTTCCGCACACAAAAACTCATTCTTTCCATATTACCCATTATTCTTGTTTGGAATGTTGTTGAAACTGGGAACTGAACAGTCATTTTCATTCAGAGATTATTAATTCTTTGAATTGGGAAATATAATTACAGTAATACCTTGGTTTGCGAGCATAATTCGTTCTGGAAACAAACTACTCGTTTTGTAAGACATTGCTCGTTTACCACATTAAAATGTATTAGAAATGTTTGCTCGTCTTGCGGAACTCTCACAAGCCACGTTACTTGCAACCCAAGGTTTTACTGTACTCAAAGTGTCAGAGAAAGATTTGTGACAAAAGAGAATTCTTTTTTTCCCCCCCAGGGTGTTATCTTTGCTTACATGTTTAACATGTGACTAAATAGTAAACCCAAAAGATTCCCCCTTCCCATTCCCCTTAATTCATATGTGTTGTATCCATGTTACAGGAAGGAAAGCAGTACCATCTTTTGTTAAAATCAAATTTAGGTTTTTGTGCCGTGCGCATGCATTTTCTGGTTGTTACTAAAATAAAGGATTCTTTCAATTTTATTTAAATATACCTAGCTTTAGGTTTTTTCCTCCATTGTGCACGCAGGGTCTTAAATTCAGATGTTGCCAATGTTAGAAGATTAGCACGCAGGGTCTTAAATTCAGATGTTGCCAATGTTAGAAGATTAGCCCCCAAGTGGAAACACTCCCATCAATGAGGCTCCTATGAGAAGAGTACTTAACCTCTCCCTTTGGAGAGGACCAGAGTTGAAGATAGTACACCATTTTGTACATCTGGCTAAATATAGACTCAAGAAATGCAAGATAGTTAAGCTGTCATCCTGTAATATGTTTTATTGAGTTGTCGGAAAAGTCATGACGTATTTTTCTATGTTTTTCGTTGCAAAAATGCGTCATGACTTTTCCGACAACCCAATATGTCCATTTTCTTCTCAAAACGTCAGTGTTATAGGTGCTTTTTAAGGGAAAAAGCCTATTGAAAATTTTCTTTGAAAACAATCAATTCAATGAACTGATATTTTTATTTCTTGTGGAATGCCGTCTTATTTAATTTTTATATAAAGGGATTTGTAGACTTGGCTTGTTTTGATACCTCCAGCTGATATGGTGCCTCTGTGGGGGATGGCCCACTGGGCTGAGGGAGCTTGTAGACAGTGACTCAGAGCTGTAATTAGGTCCTGCTCTCCCACCCCTGTTGACTTGAAAGTGCTGGCCGCAGCCCATTTAGTCTGGGAAAGCAGCACATGAATCATCTCAATTGGCACAAATGATCTGGAATGCTGCTAAACGATTTTCTACTCTCTTTTCTGATTGAGGGAATTAGGAAGGGAGGCTTCTTTGAGTTTTAAAGTACCCTAGAGGGTGAATATACATGTGTGGAAGCAGACGTCTTCCCTAGATAGAATGAACGCAGTAGAATGTCTGACATTTGTAAGCAGTTCGTATTTTGTGTGTCGGTGTTGGAACATTCCTCCAGCCTTTGTTATCCTGTCCTTTGGGAAACAGTAATATAACTGTTGCCTGTCTTCCAGCTCCAGTTCATTCCCCCACCCAGGTCTCTTAGAAAGGGCTGTTTTTCTGCCTGCAACTCCATCATAACCCCCGACACAGCACAATTGAGGAAGGAGGAAATTCTTGAAGTTGATACTGTATCTGTTTTGTTTCCTCTAACTTGTCCCACTCATCAGTATCTCTCACATGTAGGATGGAATTTTGATATCCATTTCTTCCCTTCCTCAAAATGATGGGTCAGCGGGCTTACTGAGACCTACTAGGCAACCAGGCCATGAAAGTGGGTGCGAGTCATTTTTTGTTCTCGCTCAATAATTTAAGTTGACGTTGTTCGAGTTTATTTTATAGCAAAAATGTTAAATAATCATATGCATTTTGAAGTGGAGGACCTAAGTCATTTAGGAATAAAGATAAAATGAAAATTGTTTTTAGAAAGGAAACCTTAATTCGCTTTTTCTTTTTTTGGATTTTCTCTGATGATGCATTAAGGGTACTGCCTAGCACTTCTCTTACTGTGTCTGCACTAAAGAGAAAAAGACAAGCGGATTTATCCAGTCTGTAGCAAAAAGACCAGATTTTCATCATGTAATGTGAGTTGACTTTTTAACATGTGGATACATATTTATTTTCCCGTTGGAATATCTGGAAGTAGGCCTGTAGATGAAGGCCTCTATTGATAGGAAGTAGAAGACAGCCACAGCTCGCTGTGTGATTTTGTGTGTTGCAGACGTAACTACTGTTTTGGCGTCTGCAGGTAGCGATGTGCATAAGCATGCGAATTGC